CTGTGCAAGTGCAGAGAGCAGGTCCCCCCTGACGATTGATGTAGGTTACTACTGTGGAGTTGTCTGTCTTTATGAGGACATGACGACCCTTCAAATAAGGCAGGAAATGCCTCATAGCCAGGAATACTGCCTGCAATTCCAGCACGTTTATATGGAGCCGAGCCATCCTCTGTGACCAAACGCTGTTTATCACTCATCATCAGGAGCCCCAGCTGCACCACCGAAATGACTGATGCCATAAGACCTAGCAGGCGCAGGCAGAGTCTAAATGACACGACCTTCCCCAGCTGGAAACGTTTCATACACTGGGTGAAGGTCACAATCCTCCCTTCTGACAGAGTGACGCGATATGAAAGGGAGTTTATTCTGAGCTCCAAATATTCCGTGCACCGTGCAGGAATTAAACGTCTCTTTTCCCAGTTTATTCTGAAACCAAGATTGATCAGGTGACTTAACACTGTGTTGGAGTCCCTGATCGCTTGCGTCTGTGATTGGGAGCATATCAGGTAATCATCTTCGTAGGAAAATATCCTGACGCCGCTGTTCCGCAATGGCGACAACGCCGCCTCCACACATTTGCTGAAGACCCGCGGGGCTAACGACAGCCCGAATGGCATGGGTTGAAACTCGTAAGCAAACCTGAGAAACTTCCTGTGCGGAGGATAAATAGGGATGTGAAAATACTAATCTGAGAGATCGATAGTCACAAACCAATCTCCTGGGTGAACAGAGCGACATAGTGTTTGGGTGTTAACATTCTGAACGTGTACTTTCGTAAGTGTCTGTTTAACACACGTAGATCTAGAAAAGGGCGGAGTGATACGCCGTTTTTCTTTGGAATGAGGAAATAACGTGAGTAGAAGCCCTGACGACTCTCTTCGTCTGGCACTACTCTGATCGCTAGTTTGTCCAACAGAGCTGCGATCTCGTCTCATGTGCTGAATCGCTGTTGGCCGTCGACATTAATACACCGTTGAATCTTAGTGGTCTGACGGCGAACTGCAGTCTGTAGCCCTGAGACACCGTAGCCAAAACCCAGGGATGAGCTGCGCATGCGTGCCACCTCTCCACTCAGGCTGCAAGAGAGTCGCACATGTATAACGTCACTCCGTTGCCTCGGTCTGTCCCGTCGAGAAGGGCGTGGGCTCCCTCTGCCGGTGACAGCCAGAATGTTTTGTTTTTCTTTATTTTGGGGGGGCATTCTGCCCTCGGCAACATGCCTGGCTGCAGAAATGCATGTCTTCTTGTGTTTGTTACCCCCTGGACAGAGTGGACTGAACTGGGAAACTGGGGAGTGCTTGGTGGCGCTGACAAAGTGACTTGGCAGGCGTGGAAACCTGCTCGCTGTGCTGTCTGCCCCTGAGTCTCCTCTCTCTGCTCTAGAGGAGGGAACTGAAAAAGGCCTCCTGCTGAACTGGGAACCACAGGAGCCTGAGAACCTTGAGGGACCGGGTTGAATTCCCTTCCCTGTAATTTTTCTCTTCTTCAGAGGGGGGGACAGCAGAAAAAAAGATGTTAGGTCGCCCGTTTCTTCTTCCCCTCCCCGGGGTGGGACGGACGGTTCTTTGCAGCCACTGCAGCAAAGGAATGTTTCCCCCATGGTCTGGGGTTTTCAGCTTTGTGAGGTTGGTTTGATGGACCACCTACATGCCTCTGTGTCTTCACCCCGCCTTGTCGCCCTCTAGCAGCTGCAGCAGCGGCTGCAAAGCCGGGCCTGTGCCCCTGAGGGGGGACGGGGTTTGGCTTCCGCGGCAGACAGAGGTTGAAGGCTTCAACCTCCTCCTTTCTGCGGGTGCTCGTCTCCCTCATTTTCTCCAAGGCTGGACCAAACAGACCTTTGGTTGGGTCATAGGTCGCATCCATGACTTCTGCCTTTTGCGAATCACCCAGGCTTGACAGGTTTAACCACAGGGCCCTCTCACCAGAGACTGCTAACCCCATAATACGACCAGAGCCCTGGACCGCTCCCCTGGAAGAGCGGAGGATGAGATCGTTTACCACACATATTTCATCCCACAGAGCTGGGTTAGGTGACCCAGAGTCCAGCTGACGGCCCATCTCCTCAAGTATCTCTGCCTGATATGCACACAACAGCGTGACCGCGTTAAGGGAGCAAACTGACTGTGCTGCATACTTGTACATCCTCTGATAAATGGATGCTGTGAGGTGATCCATTTTACTGGGGAGAGAGACACTTGAGGATGCTGAGAGCGACCTACGGTTGGGGTGAAGGTGATAAGCCACAGACGGCTCCACAGCCGGGGGCTCGGCCAACCCCAGCTCACCCATCCCCTGCACTTCCAGCTTAGAGCAGCCCTTGGTGGGGAGCTTGCTCTTGTACGGGCTCAACCAGTACCGGCTCATCTCCTTCATGCAAGCAGGAACAGCTGGTAACAGTTGTTTTGCTGGCGGCAGGGCTGGTGGGAGCCTCTTACCGTCATACAAATCACGTTCTGTTCCCTCTGCACCCTGAGCTGCTGGCCATGGGAAGCCGAGCTTTGCAGATGGACGTTTGCAGACATCGTATAAACTGCTGTCTGCAGGAGAGACCACTTCAGCCCTACTGGGTGGCCGTGAAGGCTGGGCTGGGAAAGTGGAATCATCCTCTTCCTCCTCCATATCATTTATCTCGAGGAGGTCAGAGTCGGCATCGTCCTCTGCCTCCTCGGTCTCTGGGTCGAGCAACCCATCATCGAGGATTCCCTCGAAAAGCGGGGGCATAACTGGGGAGTCCTCGTCCATCATGTCCGCCCAGCTCGAAGTGGCTCGCGGCTGATGGGCATCACTTGGAGCCACAGCCGAGGCTCCAGAGAAGGAGGGGTCCTGATTGTTCGTGACTGCAACTCTCAGCCTCCGTTCCAGGACTTTTTCTGGAATGGAGGAGCAGTGCAAGCATCCCTGCGGGTTAGCAAGTGAAGCTTGAGCGTGTTTAGTGCCCATGCATGCAATGCACATTGGATGAGGGTCCCGACCCGAGATGGAGGCCCCACATGACGCGGGGCACTGGCGGGATGCAGCCTCCTTGACTTTCGGCTCCGACCCTTTGGCGGGGGTGGCAACCGCAGCCATCGCAGGAATTTAGGAAGGAAACAGACTCGTCACAACACATTAGCCTGTCCGTTAGCGCTAGCCGTGGGGTCGATTCTGAGCTAACAGCTATAAATCCGAGTCAGCTTGTCGTTATACGTTAGCTGATTCAGACGGTCTTTTAGCAAATTAATGCTAGGCTAAATCAGGCTCACCTTTGCGTGTCAGCCTAAATCACACAGGCGTCCAGTACCGCTTGTTAAAGCCGGGTAAAAACAACTTGCCTTACGCAGATGCTGATGCGGACAACTGCGACAAACCCACTTCTTTCGAAGTACTCAGACCAGAGTCGGAACTGTGTTCGGTGACGTATCCCTTGACGGGATGTCTGAGAACGTAAAACAGTCAACCGAGCTAGCCTAACCATGCTGTGGGAGCTTCTTGTTGTTCCACACGGGAAGAAAGCGAGAATGAGTGGGAGTGGTCGGTTGGCCGTAGCAATAGGAGGAGGCGTAGCACAGACAGATGTTGTGTCATTGGAGCTTCCGTAGTTGGTCACGCCCAGGGTGATTCCCATAGTGAAACACAGAGCAAAGTTAGAAAAAGAACTGTTCTACCGTATGGTCTATCAAGTGGTCGAGCAGAAGGTTAAAGGGTTAAGGTACCTAAGGCACCTAGAATAGTACATAAAACAAACAGTAGAAATACAATCAAAGAGACAATGAGCAGGGTTAGTAGGTAAGAGCAAATGCCAACCTGAAAACAGATCTTTAAGTAAGGACTTAAATTGTCCTAGTGACTTGCAGGGAGTTCAAAACCTGGAAGCGGAATGTACACCTGCGCAAAATCAGAGGAGAAAAGATTTTAGGAATGGGTGTAGAAGTTAAGGAAGTCAGAGAGCAACTTGGGAGCAAGAGTGTGAAGGTGGCTTGTAGGTAAAGAGGAGAGTCTTGCATTTAATATGGGACTTTACGGGCAGCCAGTGTACTTGGATGATAGATTGGGGCATTTGTTGTGAGGACTTAGTGTGGATGAGAACGCTGACAGCAGAGTTTTGAACACATTGTGCCCAATCCAGGATTTTGCTGGAGACTCCAGATAAGACTATTACAGTACTTGTGGCAGGAGATGGCAAGTCTGTGGATGAGTGTTTCAGCAACAGGATCAGAAAATGAAGACCAAGGGTGGACATATGCAGATTTGGTGACAGATTTGATGTGTTACTCAGAAGATAAGGTTGTGTCTAGGATCACACCCAGGCTGCAGAGGGACAGACAGGATGATACTGCCATCAGTTGCAAGGAGTTAGATCTCCAACATTGTGTAGCAGCGACTTACAAGCAATTACCCTGAGCTTTAATTATGTTTTGTTGCTGATAAATCTGGTAAAGTTTGAAAATAATCAGGGGTCCCAGACACAATTGAAGAGGGATTGTGGAGAATGTTGGTGGAGGGTTTGGTAGTGATGTAAAGCCGAGTATCATCTGTGTAGCAGAGGAAGATGAGGCTGTGCTTGTGGATTATCTGTCCAAGGGGATTAAAACAGGAGCAGTCCTAGCACTGAGCCCTGGGTTACTGGACCACTCACATTTAATATTTCCATGCAAGTTTTCAGATTTTCAATAGATTCTTTGACATTCCATATCTGGACAGCTTTTTCCCACTGAATAAACATAGTCATTGTTTGGAAAGGCCATTAAATCTATTATTTATCGCAAAAATCCACCAAAACAACTATCATTTCTGAAGCCTTCAGTCATATTACATAATTTTCTTCAGCAGAATTCTCATTTTGCAGTTGCTTGTTGCTACTATTCCATGCTTACTGGGTTAACTCCATCTGTTGAGGAAGACTGTTTGATATGATCCATAGCTCTAGAAGAGGTGGATGAAAGTGTTAGTTTTCTTGATGAGTGTTTAAAATGGTTCGTTGTTTGCATCGACGTTTTCAGTGTCTGTCTATTATATTCCAGCCTTCCCGTCAGCCCCTACAATCTCAGGTCAGGACCAGCTGAGACTGGGAAAAGAGTCCGTTCTGACCTGCCAGGTATTTAACATATACCCTCCGGAGGACCTAAACCTCACCTGGTTCAGAGGAGACATCATCCTGCAGAGTGCCAGGGGAGATCCTGGATCCAGCTCAGTCCAGTCTGACTACAGGTTCACACCTCTGAAACAAGACTCAGGAGGGAACATCAGCTGCAGGGCCATCCTGGAGCTGCTGGACCTACCAGCAGAGAACAGGTCCAGAGAGACTACCATCCCCCTAAACCCCCTCTGTGAGTCAGGCTTGGGTTCTGAGTCCTTTAGTCTGAGGCCTGCTGTCTATATCCTCCTAACTCAGAGGCCTTCAGAGCAGCCTCTTAAGTCTGTCTGACAGATACAAGCCCTTAACCTTCCTCCTTTCCTCTGCAGATGCGCCTGTTGTCATGGCAATAACAGACTCTGTGGTGATAAAGGACGGTTCTCCGGTCACTCTGACTTGTTTGGCGGAGGGAAACCCTGAGCCAAATGTCACCTGGAGCTTCAGGACAGTGGATGGCCAGTCTCTGTGGCAGGGCCAAGGCGGTCAGCTTGTCTTCAGGGCAGTGAGACTGTCTGAAGCCGGACAGTATGAGTGTCAGGCCCACAACACAGAAGGAAATGACACCACCACTGTGAACATCACGGTACATGGTGAGAGTGAAGCCAAGTTTCATTTACAATCTCTGCAGTCTTGAGCTTTGTATTCTCTTTATCGTCCCCTTGGCGTCTCCTTATTGTCTATTTTTTGTCTCCTGTTTGCCCCTTTGTTATCTCCCAGTTAGGGTGAAGGCCCTGTCTCATTTACAGTGTCTGTGGTCTCATGTTTTGTTGTCTTCTTGTTGTCTCCGTATGATCCCCAACATTGAAGCCTCTGCTCTCTGCAATGTCATGCTTTATTATCTCCTTATTTGCGGTATTTTCTTGTTGTCTTATTTTTGTGTCGTCATTGTCTTCAGTTAGTCTTCTTGTTAACTCTGTGTTAACTCTTAATAGATCTTTTCTCCTCTTTCTGTCATTGTTGAGTCCTTATTGTTTCTTTGGTGAGTCATCTGTTTGTCCTTTTTGTTTCCTTGTATCTCTTCGCTGTCACTTCACTTTGTCTTTGTCGCATCTGCCTTGTTTACCTGTGAACTCTAACACATCTTTCTGCCTCCCACAGCTCCACCCACTAACACCTCCCTGTCCCTGAGTCCAGATGAGGAGGTGGTAGAGGGTCAACAGGTGACGTTTACCTGTCGCTCAGATGGAGCTCCTCGACCCATGTTGGTGCTAAGGAGGAATGGGGCAGAGCTTCAGAGATCTGACCCAGCCTCCTCATCCTCACTGACCTTCAGCCTCTCTTCCGCCCTGCTGGAAGACTCCGCTGTCTACCATTGTGAAGCCTCCAACCAGTACGGATCCCAGCTGGTATCCAGCTCCATCACTGTTAGAGGTAGTTTCAATTCCACTTCCGTCTGAGGAATATTAAGAGTTTTCTCTTCATATAAATAATTATACAACAAATCATACAGGATGATACAAAGAAAAGAAGAGGACGTGAAGTGAGCGAGTGAGACTTCCTCACTCAAACTAGAAACAACACACAATGTTTTGTTATCTAGTGAAATTTTCTCATTTCAAGCAAAAACTGACTTTGTGTCTTGTGTGTCTTGTGTCTTGTTACTACCACTAAAATCCAGCCCATAGAGAAACAGTGTAATTAACAAAAACCTGTGGATCTTCAAAAAAGCAGTCTCTCTGCAGTTTTTTTTTGTTTTTGTGAATGGACTATTTCTGTTAGGAGATGTGTTCAGGCACAGTATTCAGAGTTAAGTTATGGGCCATCCAGTCTTATCTCATGTACAGTACAGCCAGTTTGAATCACAGGTTCCACATAATTATGCCTTGTAGCATACAGTGCTTGATCCCAAGAATTTTTAGCCAGCTTATTGATTAGTGTTTATCCATTTCACGAGCTAGGACCATACCAATAAACTGAAGCTTGATTGTTTGATGGATGTGAATGAGCGTTGTGCAGATGATGACTTAAATGAGTTGATGTGGTGTGGGGAAATGCTTAGTCAGGGACCAGCAGCGCTCCCGGCTGGTGGACCCCCAAGGAAAAGGAGAGCACAGGAAGAGGAAGCAGAAATAAAGGGAGGATGGGTGCGGCACGAGAAACAAGAATGAACAAGTGGGAAGGGCAGGGTGTTATGTATAGACATACCACAGGAAGGGGAGTGGTTGAGGTGTGTTCCTGCTCCTGAACCTTAGCTCAAGATTTCATTTCCGTTTCTTGAGCTAGGACCACACCAATAAACTGAAACTTAGTCTGGGATCTGAAGCTAGTCAGGGATCAGCAGTGGCTCCTGGGTTGGTGGAGCCCCCAAATAGCATCCCATGAGAATGAAATTGAGCTGACATAACATGGGTCTTGAGGGTTGGAGCAGATGAGAAGCAGTTACACTTGAGACTCATGGCTTTGATTATGTGGACCGGAACCCCTCACTGGAAGCTGTGTCAACACGGAAGGTGTGGCCAGAGAATGTGCTAGGATTCTGGATGTCATCAGGACTTGCTTTAAGTGAAAGAGGAGTCAGGTTGAGGTTGCGACTTGACTGGTCCTTGTAACAAACTGCGGGTCGAAAGGTGAAGCATCCTGAGAATTTTCTGGTTTGTATGTGGTGTCAGATGGATTTGTAAGGGCTTGGGTGTGAATCTAGCTTGGAGTACATGGTGGCCATTGGATTACCTGCTTGATTGGTTTGACTTTGTTTGAGTGACTAGACCGGGCAGTCCTTGGAGATGCAGGAAGGTTGAATGAACTCTGTGCGTCGCAGGAACAAAGGAAGGCTGATAGAAATGTTGATTCTAGAGTGCTGGCTAGAGGCTGGAAGGTAAGATGTTGGAATGTGTCGATGCCTTAGGATAGGCAAGCAGATATCACTGGAAATGATCAAGATAAGCTATAATGTGGAGGTATCATGGGAATTTTGAGCCCCAGATAGAAGTGAGCAATACGAGATTGAGCTGGCTTGAATGTAGCTAGTTGAATGACGGAAGGAGGAGCAGAATCTATTACAGATGGCGTAAAGGGAGTCAGTGATATTGTTGCAGTAGCCTGGGATAAGTTTGGCATGGACAAGGAACGGGTTGCAGACTGACTGCCAGGTTAGGTGTACATGAGAGGCATGCCTGTGGGAGAGTTGCTTTGACTTTCTTCATGAGGGCGAGGTTAGCAAGGTGAATGAGGATGGATTTTGCTTCACCATTTTTCTATGAGAGGGTAGTGATAACGATGGGGTGGATTTTTGAATGCTGCTGAGGATGGCCGGAGAGGTTTTTGAGGAAGCTACGAGAACTTGGAGATCTTTGTTGACCAAGAAACCCCCAGCCGGCAGAAAGCACATTTCTGAAGAGCTGATTGTTGCTTGAGGTCTTGTTCCTGAGTGATGGAAAAATGGCGAACAAGATGGACCAGTGGATGGTGTGGCATTAGCAGCAATGTGGGCACTGCACTGGATCATCACGATGAGGAGGGAGTTCAGCCAGAGAGCGAAGCTTTCGATTCAACAGTCGAACCACAGTCCAAACCCTAACCTATGGTCATAAGCTCTAGGCGGCGATTGTAGGTACAAGCAGCCAAAATGAGCCTCCTCTGTAAGTTAGCTGAGCACAGCATTATAGATAGGATGAGGAGCTTGCCACCCTGAAGAAAGCTTGTGTCAGAGTTGTTGCTCCTTTGCGTCAAGGGAAGCCAGTTGAGGTGGTCTGAATGCCCGATTCGGATGCCTCGTGGGCGACTTGTTGGTGTGGCCAATGGAGGTATGTGACACTGACATCTTTTGCTGTTGATAAGGTATAATGAGGCTGGTGAAACTGGCATCTTAATGCCAGAATGGGAACCAAATTTGTTGAGTGAGAAGATAGAGATGAATTAGGCTGACGTCCCGGTGCCAGAATGAGCCAAAATTGTTTATGCAGGGGATGCCTGCTTCAGACATCAGCACTAGAGTGAGTAAAGTTGATGAGGGAGTAATTACATTTTGGTCATCCCTGAGGAGAGCCTCCCTGGTTATAGCTGGGATCTCATGTGTCTGAAGTGGCTGGAGAACGGAGAGAGGAGTTCTGATTGAAGTCGTTTCTTCGTGATGAGCGACGCAGTTAATGGCGTTTCTGAAGTGATGCCGATCTCTTTGTCTCCGGGGCCTCGTTGTGGATTCAGTTGATCGGCATGGAGGAGATCTGGAGCCGGATTGAATGTTCCACCACGGAGGGCTGATGGATGAGTGGTTCTTGGTGAGCCAGAGTTTTCTAAACTTTCAGACTGGCAGCGTGGCTGAGCGATGGCGTGTGTTGCTCCATGCACGAGAAGAGAGAACAAACAAGTGGGAAGGGCAGAGTGGTATTTATAGATGTACAGCAGGAAGGGGAGTGGTTGAGGTGTGTTCCTGCTCCTGAACCTCAGCTAAAGATTTTAGCTCCATTTGAAAGGAAGAAGAAGACTACCTTTTACATTTTTGTGACTGTGGTAATACAGAAAAGCATTAGTTTCTTCTTGAACATAGCCCATCACTTGTAATGTTAAAAGCCACACAAACAAAACCTTAGTGCTGTAACAGAGGAGCTTCTCACTTTTGATTTTTGAAAACATTTGACTTCTCATCCCATAGGTTAACCCAATTTTAAATGTCTAGTTGGAGAGTATAAGGATTTATCCTTACCCTCACTTTTACATGTTACTGGCGGTGCAACTGTCTCGGGAGGCATCTCAGGACTGTTTTCGAAGTACCTGATAGGTGGTGTCACAGACCCCTTCCCTGTATGGAGGTGGCTGTTCCAATTTCCCATAGATGGCTTCCTTCACTCCGCTCTAATCATGTCTTTTCTGTCCAGAAAGAGAACATTTGCTGTCCTTAAGACAGATTTCCAGTGCCTTCTTAATAGGTGTGTGCTCCTTTTCTATTTCCTCCACCTTGGATAGACATTCTCAGCCTATTACTGTAAGGTTCTGATAGCCTGAGCTTGTGTTCCAGGGAGTGGTGGGAGTAAAACCGCAGGCGTTGGTCTTTCCTGTGAACTTCAGTGTTGGGGCTTCCCTCCTCCTCCTCAGTGTGCACAACACAGTCCAAAAAGATTGTTCTGATGTTCCCCTTGTGAACTTAACTTTGCTGTCCCCTGACTTCTTCATCTTGGGTTTTGATTTTGACCCAGGTTTCATTACCATATCTGAACCAGTCATGGGGAGTTGTTCCCTTGGAGGGGCTCTTTACTCTGCTTTTCACTTCCACCATGTGGAGGTTGGCCACACTGGAGAATACATGGCACATACTTTTGTCCTAACTTGGTTGTTTAAAGAGCTCTATTTAAGTTGTTGTGTGACGTTTTCCACAGCCTGGATGTAGATATAGCTGGGACCAGTGAGTTAAAATCAAATATTACTGTGGTTTGATCTGGGACCAGTTTCACTTTCTAAACTTAAATCACACATAACATTTTTTAGAAACAGTTTTTTTTCCACAGATTAATTAAAATCCAGATGGTTAATTCTGAATAATGTGGTTTTAGTATGTTTTCAGTTTCAGCTGAACCAGTAAATGTCTGTTGTTTTCTCAGCTCACCCCCTAGAGGTGGAAGCAAGTCCTCAGGTGTCAGCAGAGCGAGGTTCTTCTCTGATTCTTACATGTAAGGCCTCCGGATGTCTTCACCCTCCTGCCCTCACCTGGAGGAAGACAGACCAGGACCAGAGTGTCCTCAAGAAGACGCAACAACAGGACGGACTGTCTCTACTCCACCTGCAGGACCTGGACCTCCAGGATCAGGGAGAATACAGCTGTGAGGCCAAGTGTGACTCCGTCATGAGAACCAGAAACATCCAGGTCCACATTTACTGTGAGTCTAAGACACGTTTTACACCCGACAGTAGGTCTTTATGACTTTACTAATAGCGTTTACACTTAAATAATCAGAGTTTAAGAGAGGAGTACACGATAAGTCATGAATATATGAAAATTGAAAGAATGAAATATGAAAGAATTGTCCTCATCACTTTCACAACTACAGAATATAGGACAGAGTGTCACCTACAAAGTGGGGTTATTGTGTGATCTACAATGAAAAAAAAAAGACAAAAAGGCTCTCTAGCGCCACCTAGTTACAGAAAAACTCACTTAAATGGTCCTAGCGCCCAGTAGGAATGTCGTACAGAGATCAAACCAACATCAAAATGTTCGTCTCAATGAGACCCACAAATCTCGCACTGACACCCCTGGCCTATGTCAAACAGTAAGTCCACTATTTGCCTTTCAAAATAAAAAAAATTAGCGAAAACTTCTTTTGGGAAAAAATTATCTTGTCTGACACTGTAAATCGTACCAGCTTGAAAATCGCACAGGAGACAGAGAAGGCCTTGATGTACAAAAGTTCTGAAGGGATTTGGCGTTTCTCGACCGGTTTTCGAATGGCGAGCCGTTAAAGTTGATGAGCTGCCTCAGCCTCGGCTCATACGTTGTATGGGTGTCTATGGGGGCATGTGCAGACATGCTGTGTCATTTGGTCATCTACACAAAAAACTAAAGGTCCTACAACTTTAGAAATGACACTGAGGGCTTTCTAACAAGATTTCCCACAAAAATAGGTTGTTTACACACATTTGGTGAAAATTGTGGCTGTATGGGAGAGTTAAAGTGAGTAAAAATGTCACTCTCTCAGCCAGGGGCATGAAGAACGATGACATCATCACCTGCAGCTTTAATGCTGATTGACAGCTCAGTGCAGCTGGTCATGTGACTCACTGACAGGCTGAGGCTGAGAAGAGAGAGAAAAATGGCTCCTTCAACTTAAAGCAGGTTTAAATTGTGTCAAAATGGAGGTCAGACGGGCATGAGGGTCCAACGCAGACCGAGGACCCGACCAACGCTGCTTGCGGCTTTAATTGTATTAAGAGATTTGTTGCCATGGTGGTAAAAATATTTTGAGCTTTCTCACCTATTGTACTTTTATGTTCATTTTACAAATCCTGTGTTTTCCAGCTAACCTTCCTCATAATGTCCAAAAAAAATGCTGAAATTTATTTGTTAATTACAGTAATTGAAAGGAGACAGTTGTGTGCATGAGGTTATTAGAGTCACTGGTCAGACTGTAATGAGGCTTCACAAATTATAAATACTAAAAAAGCTATAAATAGGAAGGAATACAGAAATCTAGAAATAAAGCAAAATGTTTCTTTAAAGTAAAAATTTAGGTCACTTGTGTAAATATTAAAAGCAATTGTTTGATTTCTCTTTCTGAATATTCCCAGCAGTATGGATACTCAGGTAGCTCAGCAGAAGTCAAGAGTTCCAATCCCCAAGGTTTAACAGAAAAGAAAAACTGCTCATAAATCTGATCTGAAGCTTCTTTGTGCAGATGTTCTGAGCTGTTTGTAAGTCTGAGGGGAGTCTAGAGAAAGAAAACATCCACTTGTGATTTATCAGAATTTAGTTTCACACTGAGAAGTACATACTCAGTTATGCTGCTCTGATAGCAGAGGTTGAAGGTTGCAGAGCTTTACGCTATTGGTTTAGGGTTTACAGAGCGGCAACACTTTCTTACACCACTCTGCTTTTTAAAGACTGAATTGGTGATAAACTGTATTTTCCTGCAAGTCTCATCCAACCCTAATCCTAACCCTACTTTTAAAAACACATCACTATTGCATCATGTGACAGGTTTCTTCTTTTTTTGGCCAAAATACACTGAAAAACAATAGTCAACAAATGCACTTTCTTCCTGTATGAGTAACATTAACTATAAACTACAGTGACCAACTGTTTTCAAAAATCATGTAGCTTTTTTTTCTGTCAAGATAAAAGTCAGTCTTTGTGAGCAGTTACTAACATGCCTGGGAGTCACAGACAGATGCTTTTATCAGTTTGTTGATATTAAAACAAAATGTTGGATTATTTCAGGTCTCATCCTTAAATCTAAGCTCTGAAGGACAAACTCCAACATTCTATTGTCATGACGTGACACAACAGAGGAGAAAGATATCAAATACCCCAGCACCTACGCACACATATTTACCCCTCTGACAACTTTAAATAAAACACTATGAAACACTCCCACACAGAGACAGAAAAGAGGAGATAAGTCAACGTTTCTGACAGTAATCCTCATAAAGTGGTTTCATCAGACAGCTGAGCTTCAGCAGGCTGACTCAGTTCACACAGAAGTTCATGCACTGAGACTGGGGACAGGAACATGAACTTCCTTTAGACATGAACTTCATAATTGTGATTTGAGTCCTTTAATGTTTAGCTTTAGTCATTCTGATATATCCGATATACCTAAATGTTGATTACATATGTGTCTGACACTGAAGCAACAGTTGTAGCTTCTAAATCTAGACACCTTATTTTTTTACCTGTATTGTGTCATTAGGAAGGACAGCCAAGTTGCCTCTCTGTCCGACAGAAACCTCAGTGTTTCCCTCATCTCTGGGATTATAAATGCACAGCATTCACTAAACTTGCTTTCTACAACAGACCTTCTTTGCCTTAAGATAAACAAATTTGTGGTGTGTTCTCTTTTCTCTCCAGCATTTCCGTCTGAACCAGTTCTGGAGGATCCTGGTCCTGTGCTGCTGGGCCAGGAGGCAGACTTTCACTGTGATGTCCTCAGTGTCTTCTCACCCAATCAGCTGAGGATCCAGTGGTTGTCGGGGAACACGACGCTGATGTCGGAATCATTTACATTCTCTGGTTCCTTACAGAACATCTCATCCATTCTGCACCACCAGATTGAGGTGGATCAGCAGGTCCTGACCTGCAGAATAGAGCTGCTGACGGAAGATGGAGACATGTGGAGGTCCAGGAGGACAAGTATCCCTCTGCAGGTCCACTGTGAGTGTCTTTATTTACCACAGTAATAATCTGGTTTCCAAGGATTTAGAGCTCAACACATTTGTTCTCAGGCCACAGACCAGCACCAAGCAAAGAAACAGGGCCAGAATACCAATCAGACAAACTGAGGCAACTGCCCTGGAAACCTAAACCCCAGGGTCTTCTCAATCTCATATTCATGTTTTAATGAGCCCAGACTCTATTTTTCCTAAATCCATGTACAGGTTTTAATAAACTCAAGTTCAGGTTTAACTCAATCCAGTGTTAGGTTTGAAGAAATTCAGGTTCAGGTTTTGATAAACCCAGATGTCAGTCAGTTTGAAGAATGATTTAAACATGCATTTGTCAGAATTATTTCCACCATGCTTCACCTTTTTGCACCTCCCTGATCTGCCTCAGCCAATACAAAACATAAAAAACTGGGATACACTGACACTGACAGACCATCAACTCTGATTTGGTTAAACATATACAGGTTGTGTTTACCTAACCTGTGGGATTTTGATAAACTCAAACTAAGGTTTAACTAACCTCAAATTTAGATTTAGTTAAGATCAGATATAACTTAATTTTTTGTTAAACTCAAGTTTTGTTATAGTCAGACGGTGGTTTTGTTAAACTTGTGTTTTTGTGATTCAGATCCTCCAAAGACAACCCTCCTGTCACTGAGTCCAAGTGAGGATGTGGTAGAGGGTCAACAGGTGACATTTACCTGTTGCTCAGATGGAGCTCCTCCCCCCATACTGGTGCTAAGAAGGAATGGGGCGGAGCTTCAGAGATCTGACCCAGCCTCCTCATCCTTACTGACCTTCAGCCTCTCTTCCGCCCTGCTGGAAGACTCTGCAGTCTACCAGTGTGAAGCCTCCAACCAGTATGGATCCCAGCTGATGTCCAGCTCCATCACTGTTAGAGGTCATCCAGTACACCAAAATATAATTTAGTATATAACTTACAAACACAGCAATATTTAGTAGGGTAATCAGTTAGCTATTTCTCAGTTAAAAAATGTTAAATGTTCTCTGGTGTCAGCTTGTCAAATTTAAGGATTTTTTAGTCTTCTTTGTTATATATATATATATCATAGCAAAATCAGCATCTTTGCATTTTGGTGCAAATTCATACGATCAACATGTCAGAGGTCTTTTTATTATTATTTTTTCTCCAATTTCATACATTAAACAAAATAAAAATACATCCACAGAATATGGCAGAACAAAATGAGAACACACAAACACCAGCAGAATACAACAGAACACCAACAGAATGAGGTGTAAAAGCTGAGGCTGAGTACTCATGTTTTTCAAAAATGCCACAAGTTAATTTTTTTTAACTTGCTAGACAGCAGCCAAATATCACATTTTGTACTTGTGATGTTTTCTTGGACTGTTTTAACTGGTAAACCATGTTTGTTTACAACAGCCGTGATGACATTTGTATACCTTATCAGTGTTTTTTTCTTTGCACATGCTATCATTGTCACACAGATGCAAAGCAACTTAACAATGAATGAGAACTGTAACTGTGATCTGTTTTCTTTGGTCTAGCTCCTCCAAGGAACACCACAGTCCTCGTCCTGCCATCTACGGTAGTACAGGAGGGACAAAATGTTACAGTCTGCTGCCAAACCATCAGCTTCCCGCCGTCAGCTGTAATTCTAAAGAAGCTGACTAATGGGACGGAGCTATATTCCAGCAATGGCACTTTCCTGTTGGTCAACGTCACAGCCAGAGACTCTGGGCTGTACCAGGTCAACGTGACCAATGACCTCGGATACCAGGTCAAAGTCTTCAGCATCAGCGTCAGAGGTCAGTCAGACCAGCTCAAACAAGTTTATCATTCTGTCTTCTGTCTATTTTTAAATAAGAAAGTTTGAAAATAGATTTACCATCACAAACTAGTTTATTTTCTACTTCTTTTTGTGCAGAGAGAAGCATTGCACTTCCTCCCCATGTCAGCGTCATTATCATCCCAGCCATCTGCGTCACCACTGGGCTAGCAGCTTCTGCTCTGCTCCTCGACTACCTCAGGAGATCCAGGAAGAAAGGCTTCTATCAGTTGCCCCAGTCTGCTCCACCTTCAGCCTGAGGCTGACACTGAGCTAACAGACTCACTGACGTGAATAACAAATTCAATTCAAGTTTTAAACTGTGACTGCTGCGTCTCTGAAGTTTTGGCTGCTCTCTCCCAAAATTTGGCTACTGAAGTGCAACATCTTATTACAACAGGTGTTTGTGCTTCCTAAAATATGGCTTTGATATGCCAAGGTGTGAATGTTATGTCCCAATATGTGAGTACTGGCTTCCATCATATGGCTGACCTCTACATCCTGACCTGTCACACCACCTACCAATATAGGGCCACTATGTCTTAACAGTTGGCTGCTAGGGTACAGCATGTGGCTACCATGTCCAATAACCTGTAGCTTTTATATTCCAACTGGTGGCTATCAGGTCCTAAGACATAGCTACTGACTTTCAGTACTTGGCTTGTGTTGCAACCTGTCACTACCACCTTTGAAAATGTGTCTCCCAGCTATCAAGTTCCACTCTTTGAAAACCACATCTTCACAATTTGTGCTGCTATTTCTGATTATGTGTCTACTAGGGTTACGCAGGGCCCTAACACATCCCGTGGTTGCCACCTTGTGACATATGGCTAACTTATCCTAACGTGTGACTTTAATGTTGTCGTATGTGGCTGCCACATAATATCTCGTTGCATATGACTAACAACTGAGAAGATGCAACTATAATCTTCCAACATACGGCTGCAGAGCTAGTACTTGTGAATGTGGGGCTATTGCCTCTCAACATGAGACTACCCTCACCAAACATGCAGCTCCTCTCTCCTAATATGTTGCTACCACCTTCAAACATATGAAACAGTTCCAAAATGTGACTTTAGTATCTATATGACTGATGCCTCGATATATGACTATTACTTGTCAAGATTTGGTTACCATGACTCCAAAATGTGGTTCTGATAATCCAACATATGACTAATACTTTCAACATGTGGCTACCATATCACAAATTACTAACAACAATATGTGGCCACCATGTCTCTACATGTGACTACCAAATATTAGCACCTGAATGCATCATTCCAGCAAACACTGGTGTCCAAGCACAATGTTACCACACTAACTTGTTTTCATAATAGTCCACCTCCTAATACGTAGCTACCACAACCAAAAATGTGCTTTTGATGTTTAAACCTGTGGCTACAACCTTCCAAGATGTTGCAGCATCCTTGCAACATGTGACTATCAAACCCTGACATTCAGTTGGGATATTCCAGTATCTGACTGCCTCTCCTCAACATGCGAGTTCAACAGTCCCACTGGGAAAATAATAGAGGATATGACCAATTGCTCAAATGATATGAGCCTTTGAATTCATTTTTTCACCAGATTCTGTTGAATCAGTGAGTCTGAGCTTTTTTCCCCAGTGAAATGTCCCTTTAGCTACTCAGCCTGATTATCAAAGCTGAAAGAGAAATGCTGCTCAGCTTTTTAACACTCAGCCTGTGACTCATTTACTGCTTGTCCTGCCATTGATGGAAAATAGACTAATCTTCAGGTGACTGATTTGGCTGAACTCATTTAAAAGGTTTTTGTTGTGCTTCACTTTCAGTTTCCCTTAATCTCTGTTGGTTTGGCACTGCGGCATCTTCAGTGATTATATAGAAATAGGTTTTCTTGGGTTTTATGTATATGTGTACAATTTCTGTTGGCTTTTATTAAAGATATTTATTTCCTCACACCTCTCCTGAGTAATGTTGGAGTGTGATCTAATTTCCTGAGAATGTTTTCTCTGGGAATTTCCTGCAATTGAACAACTTTCTCTTTCTCTTCTGTAAGATTTAGTGTTTACTGGAAGTCTTCAGGGCGATTCAGCTGGTAGCCATGGTGACAACTAAGCTGCAGTTCAGGCTAACAGACATTTAAAAGACAGACTTTGCTTTTTAGTGTTTTCTAACTGCAGGTTTGGAAAACCCTCCAGGCTCAGAGAGAAATTCTCCTTGTTCGTTAAAGCTGCTGCAACTTTAGGAACATAAAGCAACACAGTAATGAACATTTATTTTTAGAAACTCACATGTTGCAGGAAATTAAAAAAAAAAAAACACAAAGAGACACAAAACTATAAAAGACCCAAAAAACAGATAATCATGAAAACACACAAAATGACCAAAAATACACACAAAACAACCACAAAAAAGGTACAAGCAACTATAACAGACACAAAAGATTACAAAGAGACACATAACTACGACAAAATTCACAAAACAACCACAAAAACTGGTGCAGACCAGTCATCACAAGGCGTTCCACCTTTAATAGTCTATACACCCGTATACAAATATTCATATTACGGGTCTGCTGTCTCAAAATCTGTCTCTGGCCACAAGTCTCCTTTCAGTGTGTCAGGTGGGTGAGAGAAGATGAAACTGGAAAGATTCCTGGTATTAAAGGCCCCTGAGGATTTATAGTGGAGTTGAAATGCATATCCTGAGGAGAGAAAGAGCTAAAAACGTCAAGGGGGTCATTCAGATCTAAAGATGTAATGAAAATCCAAACACCCAGAGATGTCATGGCCACCGAACACGTCCTCATCAATCTCTAAAAACCAGAAAACTAATTGGGTAAACCAGACCACAGTAACCAAGTGAAACACCAATTCTGTCTGTTTTCAGACTGATGGCAGTGCAATGAGCTAAACAGATGGCATAAAAATGTTCTGGTGCCTTTTTGTTCGTATAAAGCTGATTGGCTCCTCAGCTTGTTGTCATGGAAACAGGAAGGCCTCAGATGTGAGGTGTGAAGAGAGGAGTGAATGTGGCTCAGACCTCTGGAGTCTTTGGACCGGTTTCAGTTCAGACTACACTGTGACAGTCTGTTCTCAGGGTCTATTTAGGGGTTTTTTAGGCTCTCAGCTTCACCTCTTGTCCACATCGGTGGACAGTCTGTCAGCTGACATGACCACTGGCTGCCTGCTTAGGTCATGTGATGCTATCTCTATAGCAACCAAGCAATTCTGTTAACTGAAGAAGACTGTGAGGAGTTGCTGAAAGCTACATAAACAGCTTTTTTAAAAAATTGTTTACATGAATTCTGATTGTTGATCAAAAGTATGTGGACAGTGAGACATGTTTTATTCATCGGGTTTGTTTCTTAAGTTCATTCAGTTCGACATAAAATAAATGATACTGCATTAAAGGCCCAAGTGTAGAGAGATCAAGTTCTTTCTTTTAAAGGATGCTTCTAATTTATTTTAGAAATATTGTATTTCCCAGTTATATGTCTACAGTGTCTCTACTGTTCATTCAAACTACATTGTAGAGATTTTGGGGAACTGCAGCTTCCCATTTACACCTCAATAAACAATATCTGATTCCTGATAATCTACATAAGAGACATAACTTGTGAAATTCCACATTTTCTAAGCAATTAAACATCATTAAACATTCAAATTCCTCACTACACATATTAGCAGTTATCTGACCTGGTCCCACAACACAAAAGCACTCACAAAGAGAGTGCACACACAGCTGTACTTTCTTAGGAGGCTGAGGAAATTTGGGACACCTCCTGAAATCCTCTGCAACTCCTACAGTGGTGCAGTTGAGGGTGTGCTCACCAGCGCCATTACTGTGTGGCTTGGGACCTGCTCCCTGCAGAACAGGAAGGCCCCCTAACGTGTAATAAAAGCTGCACAACACATCTCTGGAGTGACCTTTCCATCGTTGAAGGACATCTACACCAGAAGGGTCATCAGGAGAACCCACAACATCAACAAAGACCACACACACCCACAGCACACACTCTTCACACCGCTGCCCTCAGGGAGGCGGGACAGGAGTGTGAAATCAAGGATCACAAGACTGTCAAACAGTTTCTTTCCTCTGGCCATCAGACTTCTGAATAACCTCAAACACATACACTGCTGTTTAATATACACAACATTCCAGTTAATATGTGTCACCAGGCACTGTGGACTTTAAATGTATATTTGCTGCTACAGCATCTCATTGATGCTGCTATATCTACATAGTTATTCACCTTAGTTACTGTCTCTTTTTATTTTTATCTATATTATTGTTGTTTTGTCTTTTCTTTATATTTATATTGATATTCTTTATTTTGTATATGGGAGCGTGTGTGACACCTGTTTTGAGTAATTCTGAATTGGTATGGATGGATTCAAAGCAGATAATAATGGACCAGTGTCAGAAGATCCTTTGGAACAACTGGAGCCTTGGGTGAATGAATGACAATAATGAACACCACACACAGTAATGGCATATGAGTGATTATATCTTAAAAAAATTTGAAAATGTCACAGTGTGAAATACCCCAAACAACTAAAATTAGACAACTTAAGTGTGCACACTTGAAAAAAAAGAGAAGTTCTTTCTGTTCTTCACTGAAAGAAAAAAAAATCGTTGGGGCCCAGTGTGTGTGTGTGTATCCATTCAATGAGGTCCAATGAGTCAGTGTATAGATGAGTACTTTCAAACCAGTGTACAGATAGTGTGGTTAATCCTCAGTTCAGGGACTGGATCGCTCTATCTCACTCTCCCTCAGTCTAGGATCTCCAAGGTGGGTGGCTCGCCTTCCAGCTCACTGGAACTTCTGGTCCTGCTCTGTTCGGTCAAATTCCTCCCTTCACAAAAACCTGACCTAATGGATAAGGTCATAACATTTCCCTCGGATTACTGTTTGGTTACACTGGTATCTCATCTACTCAGCAAGATACACAACATCAAATTATAACCCAACATCACCTCTTATTGTATCTTATACTGATCAACAGCATTCTTAACAGTTATCGTTACATTAAATCAGCATTAAATTTGGACCTTTACAACAACTGCACAAAGTACATGAATATACAATTAAATGACTCAGCATTAAACCAGTTAAAGTACAATATTGCAACACTAAGGCTTAAATGAATTGCTTGCTTCATTTTCCTCATTTACCATAGGCCTACTGGTAACATAGAAAATACACTAAAATTCAGCCTCAGCTTCAACAACTTGTAACTGCACTCAAACTACACATTCTATTAAACAGCATATACTTTTATTAAAATTTCAAACATTCCCTCTGATAACCAAGGTGAGACATACCTTGTAGCTGAAAATTGTGGCTAACATTAACGGTCATCATCGTTAGCCGTTAGCACCGCTTCGCGTTAGCTCAAATGCTAATAGCCGAATTTGCACATGAATGCGGTCATTACGTGGCTTAACTAGCGACTTTCAATATTGTCCAAGCTTAACACTTTCCCTCTACACTGAACTCACCGTTGAAAAATCATGTACATGCATATCAGTGACGGGCGGTGAGGCACTTACTTCATCAGAATCTGATTTACAAATATATGCACTTCTGTTTCATATCTGCATTCTGTACACATACAAGCTGTAGCCCACAAAACGCATGTTTTTTTTTTTTGTTGTTGTTTGTTTTTTTTAAGTTATTGCGGTCTTACCTTTACCTTTAAATGAAGTCCATGCTCCGCCCCTTCTGGACAAAAATATCCGTTACTTTTTTGTAAAAGTCTCCTTAACTTCCGTCGCTGCACTTTACTTGCTCACTGTACATCTTACCGCGTCTCGCTCGCTGTCACTTACTCTACAGCTACGAAGTCACAAGAAGCATGTCTGGGATCAGAGCGCCCCCTGCCATGATGCAAGAGAACTGCCTGCCTCACCGAAAACCTCTTCTCAGCTGCCTTACTCAGAGCACGAAACAGATTACGCACATACAGTTGGTAACAAGAAAACACTGTACATTATTATATACATCAGCTGAACTATGGAAAATCAGTTCACATATTAAATGTGTTTGAACCATGTTATTGGCGACATCCAGACAGCAGCACGCTGTCACTGCAGGCATCCAGTGTAGGTAGCGAGGGATTGCGCAGTCCCTCACTTCGCTGGCTGCCATGCAGTGACAGCCTACGCATGGCAGCCAGCGCAGTGAGGGACTGCGTAATACAAGTGCTGATGCATGCTTTTATCTCCTGTCGTATAGACTATTGTAATGCCCTGCTCTCTGGTCTTCCCAAAAAATCTATTTACAACCTACAATTACTACAGAACTCAGCCGCACGTGTGCTGACGAGGACCAGAGGGCGGGAGCACATTACACCGGTTTTAAAATCGCTGCATTGGCTCCCCGTGTGTTTCAGGATTGATTTTAAGGTACTTTTATTAGTTTTTAAGTGTCTTAAGGGTCTTGGGCCATCTTATT